GTCCTAAGTTCATTTAATAAATAAAAAAATTAAGATGTTCAAGGTCCTAAGTTTATCAGTTTGCTAGCAAAACAATCTTCGACCTAAGTTAAATAAAAAAAGAAAGGGAAAAAAAATAAAGTAATACTCAGGACCTTGAAGGTCGTAAGTTTCTCAGAACAATCTTCAACAATTTTAGGACCTTGAAGGTCATACGTTTCAAAAAATTTATGAACATAAAGTTCATAAGTTTATTTTTTGCAAAATTACATAAAACTCTAAAAAATGGACTTTCTACTCGATTTATCCTCAACCTAACTTTTCCTGGCAACTTTTCCCCCAAAACCATGTTTCCTAGCAAATACCCCCAACTCTAAAAAAAAATTAAAAAAAATAAGACTAAAATACCCCTCCCTTACCTCACACGTTGACCATCGCGGTCCGGCGTTTGGAAGAGGTGGTTTGGGGCTTAAGTCACTGATTTGGAATGATCCGGCACTTAATCATGGCAATCTCACACTTCATCATGGCAGTCCGGAGTTTGGAAGAGGGGGTCCGGCATTTGTTTCAGGATTAATGAGCAGTCCAGTATTTGTTAGCTACGGTCCAGCAAAATTGAAAATTGTGTTTGGAATAGGCGGCCCGACAGTGTACAGTTCCGGTCCAGCATAATGGATGGGTCCGACAATATATAACCGCGGTCCGGCGTTTCCTTTTATTGGGATCCAAAAATGATTTTTTATGTCCAAGAAGGATATTTTCGTCAAAAAAATGAACTTTTTGTATTGTGGGTATTTGTTATAAAACTTAATTTTTGAGAAAATATGCTAAAAAAATTAGGGTGGGTAAAGTGCCTAGAAAGTATATTTTAGGGGTTTTATGTAATTTTCCTTTTATTCTTTTGAAAAGAAAAACAAGATAGGATATTTAAGGTCCTACATTTTTTTGATGTTTATAGCAAAACAATCTTCAATTAAGTATGGGTGTGGTTTTTATAAGGTTGCAACTTTAAACAATCCAATTAAGATGCACCTCCAAATTTTATTATAACATGTAATTTTAGTAAAAAAATTTATTAGGATTATCTCAAAATCTATTTCCAAATCAAGCAAATCTACAAGCATGCGAAAATCTTGAAAATGGACAATCTAGATAATGTACTGAAAGATGTATTATTTTTAGGACTCAAATCTTTTTTTTTCCTTTCATAATCATACATCTCAATGTCGAGATGATCAATTAGAGGTTTTTTCAACATTAAAACAACCTTTTATGTAATTCTACATTTTTAAGGTTGCAACTTTATATAAAACCTTTTCCATTATCGATAATTCTAAGGGATTTGCGTAAATTCATTTGTATATTGGAAACTTCGAATCCTTTATAGCTAAGATTTGGGAAGAGGAATTTTAAATTGCGAGGTCATTTGGAATGTGGAGGTTATACACACGGCTCTTGAACAGTAAAAGGTCGTCATGACTTCCATATATTACATACAAATGGTCTTCACGTATAATTTTTTAGATAAAGCTAGTTCTTGCACAAGAGTAAGGAAGCAAAAAGTAAATTCATCTTATTTCTTTTAACATAGGAAGTCATCCTATTTACACAAGGGAAAAGATTATATAATGTTGATATCTTAAAATAGTAATGATCCTATGAGACCCTTTCACACTCATGTGTGTAAGCCTCAAAAATCACCATTAAATTTGTTACTGATTTCTAGAAAAGTTATCACATAGGTATGTGATTTAACTTTAAAATGTAGAATTAAAGTGCACCTCTAAAATCTTTCAAAAAATATTGTTCTGATATTGGAAAAACATCGAATTGATCATCTCGACATCGAGATGTATAGATATAGAGAAAAAAAGAAATTTCAATATCTAAAAATAGTACATCTTACAATACATTATCTGAATTGTCTATTTTCAAGATTTTCATGTGTTTCTCTGTTTGATTTGATATATTATAGAGTTTAGAATTTTATAATTAGGGGTAAAAATTGATTCTTACACCATCCTAAGAATTATCGATGCCAAAATCATGTCTCATGACAAAGTTTGGAGGTATCTATGACTTTAACTGTTTAAGATTGCAACCTCGTTCAAACCACACCTTTTGCACAAAACTTACGTTTGCATCTAGATCAAGAAGGTGCAATTATATCTACTTTCTTATTTAGACAATTTAGGAGTGGTAATTAGATATATGCATTGCAACAAAAAGAGAACCATGACATAGGAAAAAAAAAACACACAATAAAATGATAAATATGTACATTTTAAAGAAAGGGACTAGGTCGTGGTGGTATCACCTCCATGCGTAGTTATCTTGTCGTGGTTCTCAATTCTGCTGACACCTTAAAAAAAAAGCTAACTCTATAATCTATCTAAAAAACAGGGTAGGGACATATGTCTTCCTGCTGAACTACCCAAAAAAAAAAAACAAAAACAAAGACAATATGTCTTATAACCCTAATGTGGACCCGTTTGAGCTACCAAATTCACCTTTATCACACTAGAGAGAGGTCGAAGAGTGCAAGAGTGTGTTCATATTTCTGCGTATATTTTATTTTTAGGCGAGTTTGTATAAGGTGTCCGTCTCATATACAAGTAAGGTGCACCTCTAAATTTTACCAAAGGATACAATTTTGGTGTTGGAATGGAAAGGTTGTAATGGCTTGAAAATCTATGTTAAACCTTAATCATAAAATTTGAAAATTCACATATGGTACAGATAGAACAAATCTAAAACAATTGAGAATTTAAAAAATAGATGATGTCACTATTTTAAAATTTGAAGTTCATATTTTCTTTTATATCCATATCTGGAAGTTGAGATGATTGGTTGGAAGTTTTCCAGCTTTATAATACTTTTCCCTATTGGATTTTTAAGTTGCATCTTATGTTACTTTTATATCATAAGGTTGTAATCTTATATAAACTTTTTCTTTTATTTTTGCACGCATTGACCTCTCTTTTTTGCCTTTAGTACATTAGTAAGGTTAAAAACTTGGCAATCTGGACTAGGAATCGGAAATCTAAATCGCATTTGGATGTGCAACCCAAGGCTCCCCCAAATCTCATTTCAGATTTTTATTATCATTTAACTAATTTTTCACTAGTTGGCCGTTTTAGAGCATTTGTTCGAATTCATACGAGCAGCAATCCAAAATTTGATTCCACATTTTAAAACATAATAGAGAGCGAAAGAGAGTGCCACCGGTCTGAATTAGTGGAGCAGATTGTTCACCCACAAATCTATGTCGGATCACTAGATTGGTGATATGAAACGAGTATAGATCAATTTAAATTCGTGATCTAAAAAATATTAAAAATAAATAAAATATAATAAAAATTTTAAATAATTATTTATAAAGAGGGAATTAAAAAACAATGAAAAAAATTAAATAAACTTAAAAAAATATAACAAGAACTTTAGGAGAAACTACACCCAAGAATTACATCCTATAACTAGTTCAATCCCAAATGATTTCTATTCAGATCAGCCATGTGGATAAAAAATCATTGGGCTTTAAAACACATCGAAAAAGTGTTCCATGAGATAGCGAGCACTAAAGTATATAATCCATAATTAAGATATGGACATAGTCTATATGAGTCCATATAGAAGAACAATTGTTTCATGCGGGTTAGACCGCATTTCTACAATATGTGGTGCAGAGATATAAAGCATCCATCTAAAAGATGGATGCAAATAAGTGGCCCATCTAAAAACAAGTAAAACTGCCTGTCCATTTTTTTTTTTAATATAGTTATTATTTATAGTTTTCAATTTTTATTTTTTTATATTCACAATCTCCATGCTAAAGATTATATATACTCTAAAAATTAAGATTAAAATTATATTAAAAAACATATTTATTGCCAAGCCTGCATTTCTATAATATACAGGTTGGCTGCATGCTAACTGCGCCATGTAGAAATGAGTCACCATTTAATTTTTGGACCTAATTTTTAAGGACATGTAATCTCTAACACGGGGATCATGTATATAAAATAAATAAATACATTGTGAAAATTAAAAAATATTAATTTTATGCACAAATATATTGTACCATTGGATTCAACTATCTCTAGATGGACTGCCTATTGGCATCCTTCTTTAAAATGAACGCTTTATATCTCGTGGATTGCATATGTAAAAATGTGATCCACGGTGCATAAAACTATTTTCCTTAACATTTGAACAGTGCACGGAAAAATATAAAAAATTTATATTTTTAGTTTTAATTTTTTTTTTTCTTTTGTACTTATTATCATCTTAGTCTAGATGATTGATTTAAAAGATAATTAAATAAAAAATTCATCTTTAAAATGAAGTTTAGAGGGAGGCCCATATATACATGTGAGTGTCCTACTCATAGAAACCCATCCTAAAACACACCGACACAAGTTGCGCACTGCACATTGGATTCCCCTGCTCTCTCACCGCATCATTACCAGGAAAAAAACAACGTACGAAAAAGAACGGTCCGGTTTGTATAGAGGTTAGGCTCCAAACAATTAAATTAGAGCCTACTTTTAAATAGTTCGATAAAAATTCACTATAATAGCTTTAAAATATATTTTTATCTTTATTTATAAAATTTCAAAACTAGATAGATATATAAAAATTTTAAAATCTTGAAAATTGATGGTCCAAAAATGCTTTATAAAATATATTATTTCCAAAATTTGGAATCCATTTTTTCTCTTTTCTATGTATCTTGATGTCGAGATGATCAATTTGAAGATATTTAAACATCAAAACAACCTCTTGTAATGAAATTTTTGAAGTAGGCTTTAATTTGATTGTTTAGAACTTCGGTTGTACACAAACTTTTCTAAAAAAAAAACACAACAAATAATTGTGCAATGTATCCTATTCAATTTTTCTTAATTTTCAATTTATAAGTTGTAATTTTGATCCAAAAGCAGGGGCATCTGATGCCTCTTCGCGTCACATCGCTTGCTATAAAATTGTCGTGTTGGTGAATATTTTCCCTCCATATCTTTCTTTCTCTGCAATCAAACGCTGCCTCTGTCTTCTCTCTCTCTCTGACATTCCTGTCGCGCTTTCTCGCTCTAGGGTTTCGTGCCCCCTAAAAGTCTCTCTAAAAACATGCACCTCTCTCTCCTCTCTCTAGACTCGTGTCGTATTCTCTCTCTAAATTGGGCCTTCATTCTCTCTCTAATCTCTGTCTCTCTCTAAGGTCTAAAACTCATCCCCCTTTCCCTTTCCACATGCATCTCATTCTTCCCTTCCCTTCCTCTCTCTCTCTAAAAGGAAACGTTCATGTCTATCTCTCACTTTCTCTCTCTAGAGGACACGCTCATCTTGGTCTCCGGAGTTCTCTCTCTTCCTGTAATCTCGAAAATATCTAAAATTTATTTGTTTTGGTCTTAACCCAATGGAGCCGAGGCAGGGCGGTATATTCAGTGTACTAGGTAAAGCTGTTGTGCCTACTTTCTACCGCTTGATCGTACGGACTTTTAGGGTTTTCAGGGGGCCTTTCGCTGGTAGAACTGTGTATTTCTGGTGCGGTGGGTAGTTTGGCTTCGGTTCTTCTAGCTTGAGCTTGATTCAGTGGAGGACGATGGAATTTGAGACTGGTTCTGGTTCATTTTAAGGGGTAAATGGTTGATCTCGCTCAAGCTTGTTCTTTTTCATGGTTCTGTAGGAGTTTTAGGTTCTCAGCGATTCCGAGATTTCGCAGAGAAAAGAGATTATTAGCTCAGATATGTATAATTTTTGCCAAAACTTGAAAGTGCAGAGTGTTCCTTATTTAAGATCTAAAATGTGTGATGTATGGAATGCTAGTGGTTTTTGTTGGGTTTAAAGCAGTGTTTTATGGAGAAAACATTAAGTCCTTCAGTGAGTAACCGATTATTTAGGTTTTCTCATGGCATTGTACACAGTTCAGCCAGGGTTTTTCGTTGTGAATCATATCACGTACTGTGAACCAAGTATATTGCTTCTCTGTGAATATTTCAGAAATGATCAGGCATTTACGGTCTTTTGCACTTGTAGGGCTCTAAGCTGAATTTGATCTCTGTAAATTTGTGGAAACAAGTTGTCCTTCCTCTAAAGGGACTCTTTTCAGGGATTTCAGTGCTATCTAGCATGAGGTCTAGTATTTTGGTTGGAAAATAAGACACATCTGAGCAGAAGTTTGATTTGTGATAAAATATAAGTTGGAGAAGAGATGAACTTCAGGCATTTGGAGGTGATGCAATTCTAAGCTTTTTATTCCATTGTTGTGGAGAAGTAGATAATTGTAGAAAGAACATTGTTTCTTTGCCAGAACATTGAATGGATGCAAAAAGTTTTAAGCTGAGATCTGGCATTTTTCTTTCAGATTTTTGTAATGTACTTCTCTCTTCATAAATTTTGAAATTTGTTTTTTATCTAGTAGGAAGTTTCTCTTTGGTGCTAAAGTGATTTCTGGTTCTAGATTCAGGGAAGTGAATTCATACTATCTCCATTGCTGCTATCTTTTTCAGGAGGAGCGTTTCTTGTGACCAGTTGGGTTTAAGGTTTTACCAGACCCTAGTTACTACTTTTAGGGTTACAGTTGGCAAGACGAATCATCACTAAAATTTATTTTTGTTGAAGTTACTAATTTATCTGGTTAAGCTCTTCTATTTTTAGCAGAAGTAACTTTAACCAGCAAATTGGAAAGATGGACTTTTTTAATGTGAAAAGATTCACAAAAAGGGATCCAAAACTGGGTTTGGTCAATGACCTAGAACATAAAACTGTGGAGAAGGAATCTTCTTATGCAAATGGAGATTTGCAGAAGCCTGTTGAGAAGGAAGCCACTGATGTGAAGGATGAAGCAACGGGAGAAATAGAGGACGATGATGATGATTTTATTATGAGTGAGATGAAGAGGAGACTTAAAGAGCTTAGGAAGAATAGTTTCATGGTGTTAATACCTGAAGAATCATATCCAGAGGAGACGAGCTCAAGTGAATGGAAGGATTCAGAAGAAACAGAGGACGGCTCTTGTGATGGGCTTGAGATCCCATATGAGAAGTACGCTGAGAAGATGTTGTTCTTTGATCGGTTAAGTGCTCAGCTGATACAAGAATCAGGTAAATACTGTTTCAAACATTTCAATCTTTCTTTTAGAGAGAGGTGCTTGTTTTAAACCATGAAGCAAATCAGGTTCTCAGTTTTGAATTTCTTAGATAAGGACCCGGTTTCTATGCGGCCAAGCCTGCATATGTAGAAATGCGAGCCTCTTATTAAATCTATTTTTGAGATGGATTTTAAGACCTTTTTAAGGACATGTTGTCCCTAAAATGGAGTTCATGAATATGAATAAATAAATAAATTTTTAAAACTAAACATAATAATTCTACTAAGAAAAAATTTGGACCGTTAGTTTCTAGTGTTTTTTTGATGGAACACCTACTTGCATCCATCTTTAAGATGGATGCTTTACACTTTCTGGACTGCATATGTTGAAATGCGGTCCAGCCCGCCTGAAGCAATTTTCCTTTAGATGATGCTACTGCTAAATTTTTAGGCATTTCAGCTTATTTATTGATGAGTTTTTGTTGGTAAATGTGCCATTTCAAATTTTAATTGCTTTTTTTTTATTTTATTGAGTCCCCATTTCCTATCACCCAATGCTTCTGTTGCAATATTTAAAGTTTTGTGCTTTTATTGAGCCATCTTTCTCTTATCTTTCTCTAATACTATGAAATAAATCAGATCCATATATTTTCCAATGTTTATAATGCAATTGTTTTTTTTTCTCTTTTTTTTTTTAAAAAAAATGTTGTGAATTGGAAATTTCTAACGCCCCATGATTCTTTTGGGACCTGTTACGTAAATTATGCAAATGGGAAAAGTTTATATAGAGCCTAGGCTCTAAACAATCAAATTAGAGCCTACCTCAAAACTTTCATTAGAAGAGGTTGTTTTGATGCTCAAATATCATCAAATTGATCATCTCAACATCAAGATGCATAGACATGAGAAAAAAATGGATTTCAAGTTTTAGAAATAGTGCAATCTTGTAACACATTTTGGGATCGTCAATTTTCAAGATTTGTTCGTTCTACATGCTTTTTGAAGCTTTAAAATTTATAACTACATATGAAAATATAATTTAAGGCTATCATAAAACTTTCCAGTATTGAAACCATATTTGTCGACACTATTTGAAGGTAGGCTCTAATTTGATTGTTTAGAGCCTAGGCTATATACAAACGGCACCCGTTAATGATTGTTTCAGTTGCTATCGTATTGCTGTCTTCATGATTTTAGTCTATTTTATGGTCACTTCTTGTTTGTTTTTCTATAACTTTTTTTTTTGGTGCCCATGGATGTCAATTCACTGAGTCATAATATCTCATTCCTCCATCTCTTGCTTAATTTTCTCATTGTGTTCAATTTATTGTAGATATGCTACACTTCAAAATTTGCCTTTTCTCTACCTTGAGTGTGGGTTAACTTTGTTGGGTTCTGTTTCCTACTACACGGAGTGAAGATGAGACATGTTTTGGCTGCAAGAATTTCGTAGTATCTGCTAGAAGCCTAGAACTAAAAGTGCGGTCAAGCATAAAATTAATCAAGACTACTTGGAGATCCCTTGGTCGTATGCCATTTTTTGTGGTGAGGGACATTTGGATATGCGCATTATGAATTGTAATTTGTTTGCACCTAGTGCTTTTTCGGTATTTATTTTTGTTATGATAATCCATACTACATCATATTATCTGCTGCGGAACCCATTGGAAATTTTTGTGCTTAAAAAATGTTCTTTGTTAATCATCAACATCATAACCTTTTCCCAGGTAATTGGGGTTGGCTACACGAATCCTGGTCCGTCATTCTACTCAATTAAAGGCCATACCCTCGGTGAGGCCATAAGACCCCATATCTTTTCAGACTACTTCCAACCATGTCATTTTGGGCCTACCACTTATCCTTTCAGTTCTTCCACTTGAATTAACTTGCACTTCCTAACAAGTGCTATAATTGGTCGGTGCCACACATGACCCGTGCACCTAAGTCTACTCTCTCTAGCTCTCTGATCTTGTCGCCTATTGGTGCCACACTTAAATTCTTTCAAATGCATTTATTTTGAATTCTTTCCCTTCTTATTTTTACTTTTCATCCATCTCAACATCCTCATCTCTTCTACACTCATTCTATGGGTATATTGTTTTTTATCCGCCCAGCATTCCGCCCCATAGAGTGAAGTTGGTCTCACCGCTGTCTTATAGAACTTGCAGCGATCACATAAAATTCTAATTGCACATCTCTACTTCGTCCACCCAGTTCTAATATGAGCGCGACATCTTCCTCAATTTCTTTATTTTCCTGGATTATCGACCTAAGATATCAAAAGTGTGGTATTTTTTGTACTTCTTAGCTGTCAATCTTTACTACTTCATCATCTCTACTCCTATTATTACTAAACTTGCATTTCATATACTCTGTCTTAGTTCGGTTAATTTTAAGACTTTTGGATTTTAAGGTACCACTCCAAAGTTCTAACTTTGTGTTGACGCCATTTCGGGTCTCATCGATCAAAACTATATCATCCGTGAGCAACATGCACCACGGTACTTAGTTAAGTCATCCATACTTAAGACAAAGAGGTATAAGCTCAATGCTGACCCTTGATGTAGGCCTATTGTCACTGAAAACTCATTTGTCTCCCCACTAGTTATTTGTACTCTATTTAGTGCTCTATCATGCATATCTCTTACTAAGTTGATGTAGTGTCTGGAGACTCATTTTTTTTCCAACACTCGCCAGGTCAAATCTCAAAGTACTCTACTATCAGCTTTCTCTAAATCAATAAAGACCATGTGGAGGTCTTTTCCCTTCACCCTAAACTTCTCAATCAGTTTCTTAGGTAGGAAAATAGCCTCAGTTGTGGACCTTCCTAGCATAAAACCAAATTAATTTTGGGATACATTCGTTTCATACCTTAGTCATTACTCAATCACTCTCTTCCAGAGCTTCATAATATGCCTTATAGATTTGATCCCTCGATAGTTCTCACAATTCTGTATGTCTCATTTGTTCTTGTAAATAGGTGCCACAATACTTTTTTTCTATTTTTTCTAGCATTTTCTTTGTTCTCAACACCTTGTTGAACAATTTTGTCCGCTAGTCAATGCTAATCTCCCCCATGCACTTTCAAACCTATATCGGGATACTATCTGACCCTAAAGCCTTTCCGATCTTCATCATTTTCAAAGCTTCTTTCACTTCCGACATCCTAATCCTACAAATGTATTTATGGCCTCTGCCCTCATTTGTACCACCAGTTCCTTCTACCACTATGTTTCCATTATGTTCACCATTTAATAATTTTTGAAAATAAACTCTCCACCTTTTGCTGACCTCGTCGTCCTTCATCAAGACCTTTTGATCCTCACCATTGTTTGAAAAACTGCCCAATCTAACCAATAACCGCTCGGTTAGATGGGAACCGGTCCCTTGCCGGTTCCGATTTTGGTGATCGGCCGGTATTTTAAAAATAGAAATTAATAAAAATGTCCATAAAATCCCAAAAAAAAGGAATTTGATTTGTAATACATTTTTTTAATACTTCTACATTATTATAAATATTAAAAATTGTTTTTGTCGTTAATACTCACTTTTAAAATCCATTTTTTCATTAATTTTAACTTCATTTGAATGTGTTTTGTTTTAATCATTCTTTATATATTTTTCATATTTTAGTAATTTTTTTTTTTTTGGCATCTTTTTCATTTTTTTCATCAATTTTTTGGCCACCCAAGACTTGCCCGGTTAGAACGGTTGAATTGGCCAGTTAGGCCAATTAAATCGCTTCTGGCCCTATGTCCGATTAACTATTCCGGTTTGATTTTGCAAACATTGATCTTCACTCTTAATGCATTTAATATGGTTTAGATCCCAACAATTTTTCTCTCTTATTTTGCTAATTTGAAGACATCTTTTTCACCTTCTTTTGTTCTCAGTTTGTTGTATAGATTATCATATGCGTTAAATTTAGCTTTATTTTCTATTTGTTTAGCATTTCTTTTAGCATTTTTATATTTGAAGTTTTGATCGTTTTTATTACATTACCAAGTTTTATAACATGATCGTTTTTCGCTAATAGCCGTTTCAATCTCATCACTCCACAAAAGTGTTGTTTGTTAATATATAGGCTAAGTCATTTTCTAAATTTCTTCAAAAAATATTTCCTGAAATTTATTTTGCGAGTGCTGGTGTTTTTTCTATTAGAAATTGTGTAAACATGGAGGCAGATGCCTTGTTGAATGGAGTCTTTATGTGTAGGAGAGCAATAGTAGTCTTTGGTTCGTAGTAATTAATGCCTTGTTGAATGGAGTCTTTATGTGTAGGAGAGCAATAGTAGTCTTTGGTTCGTAGTAATTAATTTTTTCACAGGTTCTTTATGCAATTGCTTTTTTTTTTTTGTAAAATTTGTTTAACTTCTCATTTATTAATAGTGAATATTTTTATTAATAAGAATATTGGGTGTTTTCTTCTAAACGAATATTGCTATGCATAAAGAGATTGGGTGTTTTCTTCATGTACATGTACACTTAACAGTTTGAGCCTGGTGCATGTAGCAGTTTTATGCCTTATCTCAACCCGTTTTCTTTTTTGTTTATTCACTCTTTTTCTCAATTTCCTTTTTTGCCATCTTCTTTCTGCCCCTCCTGAACTTCCAATTCATTGCATTATTGCATCAGATCACATAGTCCTTGTATTCTCTCAGTCTATTTGACCTTTCTTTTCTTTTTACCGTATTTAGATTACGTGGATTCTTCAAGTGCTTTGCGAAGGACACCGTCTAAGAAATTATCATGGTCACTTCGTCGGAACTCTTGGGGTAAAAAAGAACTTGAGGAGGAAGCTGAGAACCTGCAGCAGAACCAAGATAAACCTCTTCAGAGTCTTGAAATTGTATACATTTCGCAGTTATGTTTAACATGGGAGGTGCTTCACTTTCAGTACAAGCAGATATGCGGTAAACTTGAATCTGAATCTGAACCTGAACCTGAAAGTCCGATTTGCTATAGCCATGTAGCTCAGCAACATCAGCAATTCCAGGTCTTATTACAGAGATTCTTGGAAAATGAGCCTTTTGAGAAAGGCTCACGGCCTGAGATATATGCCCACACAAAGAAATCGTTCCCCAAGCTATTGCATGTTCCAAATTTAAATGGTGAGATCCACTGCAATTTCTATGCAAAATTGTGCAAAAAGAATTAATCATATCAGTTGCTTATAGAAGATTGTTCACTTAATTTCTCATGAAATGCTTGAAAATAGATCTAATGATAATAGAGAAGTACACCATACACATGGCACATGGGCATCAACCATTGATGGATGGCGAGATTAATCGTGGTTCCTAAAATCGGGTTATGATTAGATCTCTATTGTCTATCACTGAGAATGGGCGTTGGATGCCTGGGTTGTGTACCATGTACTACACACGAGTGATGTGTGGTGTGATTACCCTAGATAGCACATCTTCCGATGATAGAATGAAGATGCAATTATACTTGTCCTGATAGCTTTTATACTTCCTTTCCAACGAAATGACTGAAAGCATATTCTGGGTTATATGATACAAAAGGGTCATTTGTAAGCATTTTCTGCATTTATTTAAATTATGAAATGACGACTGTGATGAAATTATTTGGCAGAAGTGTCGTTTCTATAACTTGGGTTTTTCCACATTCAATTTGATATTTTATTCATATCAAAACAAAACATGAATTTCTTATTTTATTATTGGTTGAAGTTTCTATAAGGCCTTGTCTTTATGAAAATAAAAAACCTTACCTTAAATCCTGGTCCCAAAAGCATTTTCTGCAATAGAAATCTCCATGAGGCTCTGAAATCAATTTCCAACACCGACCATAAAATTTGAAACTCAAACAATGGTACAGATCTTGTGGATCCATAAACACTTATTTTTAAGGCGAAATGGACGGTCTAGATCATTTGTTACAATATACACTATATTTAGAGTTTTAAATGTTTTTTTCTTTTTTACAACCATAATGTTAAGACAAGATGATCGATGTCAAGGTTTTCCAATGTTTGAATTGTAATTTTTGATGAGTTGTGAGGTGAGGTTTTATTTATTTTAATAGGGCCGCAGCCCTATCAAACCATTTTCCTTTATAATTTTGGTTTTCTTGTCAACTCATCTGCATCCATTTCATTTGCTCATTTGCTTGTGTCTAGGTACAGATCGCAGAGAAATCGATCATGAACCAGACTCTTCATTAATTGCCACCAATCTGATTAAGTTGATTGAGACTTCAATTCTGATCTTCCGCAATTTCCTCATGTTAGACGAGCAAAAATCTACCTCAGTTCTCAATATGATTACAAGTCATAACCATGTAACTGGCTTTGTGCAACCAATCAAAGCTGCTCTTGACAAGGTAACACCTCCCTCTCATGGATTCTTTCTTGCACTTTTATTACCATGTTACCATTATAGTTTTATTACTTTCTTGTTTTTGGATGATCTGCGAAAATACCACATGCTACATAAGAATAGTACTAGAATGTCTGAGTGTCAATTTAACAATGTAACTAAGAGAGAGAAACACCACCTCTCTTTAGCTTAAGAGAGAGTGTTTCCGATGGGGATCAAGGAAAAAGATTTGGATATCATTTTTTACGTTTCGCACTAGATTCTCATATCGAAATGTAACAATGTTACAAAGAGAGACAAACACCACTTCTCTTTAGCTTAAGAGAGAGCGTTTCCCATGAGGATCAAGGAAAGAGTTTTGGATATCCGTTTTGACGTTTCTCACTAGATTCTCCTATCATGTGGCAGAAGGGGATGAAATTGAAGGAACTATGTAATAAAAAGAAAGGTTTTAAGAAGAAATCGTGGCCTTCTACAAGTGAAGATAGTGAGCTTTTGCTGGCCCTGATTGATATCAAAGTGGTGGCCAGGGTGTTGAGGACGGAGGGGATAACCAAAGAGCAGTTGAACTGGTGCGAGGAGAAGATTAAGAAGCTTGATTTGTCCACAGCTAAACTACAGAGGGACTCTTCTCCTCTCCTATTCCCATGTTGAGTTATAGTTCAACAACACTCTTATTAGTAAGCGGGCAGGAATATTATTCCCTTTTGCTTTTTCCATAAGTAGGTATTATGGTTTTTCGTTTCTATAGATTTATGGATATATGTACACTGTGAAGAGGTAGATAGAGGTCTTTGTTAGATTTGTTTCCCTGTCATTTACCTAATAGTGGCCTCCTTTGGTGTTGAATCTAGAAAAGCATGGAACCGCAGAAAGGAATTTTGTGAATCGAACTTCAATGTTGTTGATTTTCCCCATGATTACAATGTAATAGAGATTAGACTCTCTCACTCTTTGTGGTGCTTCCCTTCTAATAGAGATTAGACTCTCTCACTGTGTGTGGTGCTCTCCCTCTCTGCGTGTGCATGCATAAATAAACTTACCATTAGGAGGGCAGAAGATATTTAGTTCCATATCCTAAACCTTATTTTTGGGCTGCTGAATAAAATGTTTATGAGTATTTGGGCCTTGGCTTTCACTCATAATACTAAACCAAGAGTAGTGGTTTTCCTCTCAAATTCAACTGAAAATTGAGTTAACGGTTATTGAGTTTGTTAAGAACCTAGATCAGAATTAAACAATTAGATGAAAGGAAAACAAAGTTTATCGGAAATTTCAGGCATCTATTCTTCTTATCAACACACACTTAATAAAAACATTAAAAAAATAATTTGTAAAATGTAAATTGATTAAAATACTTTTGAAATGTTTCGGGGGTATGTTAGTGAATTTATTTTCACGAAATATTTTTTTGATATTTTTATTGGATTTTAATATTTTTAAAGAACATATAAAATTTTAAGTGATTTGGATTTATATTAAAAAAATTAAAATTAAAATTAAAATACTAAATGCAATCGTAATAATTGGATCGGTCCAGATTGAATTTGGGTCATTGGGCTTATATGTACCTGTAGGTTAGTGGGCTTATGGAAGCATATATATATATAAGATAAACTTAAAATACGTCTATAGGTAAAATGCTATAATGTTTCGCCATTGCCGTAGATTTGTTATGTCTGTTGCAGTTTATTGAACAATGTACTGTCTGTTGTGGTTCAATATAGTTTTTTGACCACCACGTATCTAGTATATCTGTACAGTACCGCCACGATGCTAGATGCATGGTCGTAAAAACTCACCCCGCCTAATTTTTTCGGACGGTGATGAGTCTATGGCAAAATCACTGTTCATTTTTTCCCATAGGCATTTGGTAGAAGCTTTT